CGACGCTCTGTTTCTGTTTCTGTTTCCCCAGTCATAGAAAAGCATTTGGAAAAGTTTCAGGTAAATTAATGAGTAAACAAGCTGTGCTTTGGGAATGGGTGATGTAGACACAACCTTCTTGGTAACAGAATTGCAAGGAAGCTGCTGTAGGTCTCAGCTTTGTAGCAAGAGGGAATTTCCTATGAGTTATTTTTCCAGTGATGATTCTAGGACTTGTAAAGAGATGCAAAAGAGACCAGCTATTTTATTGTGTTCTAGTACTGCAGTAGCAATGTGCTTCAATGTCTATGTTACTATAGAGATCTAGAACAGCCATAAAGCAGTAAGATGTGTCAATATAAACAGGCTACCACATATAGCGCTAATTGAGCCCATTGTTGATAGTTTTAGCTGGTAGATGGAGCATCGGGTATGGTTAGACGAGTGATTCTCAACCAGGGTGCTGCAGGAACCTTTTAAGAGTGCCGTGTGATGTTAACACTGTTATGTGTGCAGTGGAGTAGTGTTGATCTATTTCTGCTGAGATCTTGACCAACTGTTATTTATAATAAGGAATTTATGACAGAGGGGCTAAAGAGGCCACATCTTCCTCCTGAATAAAGGAGTCTGACACAATAAGGTTCAGACCTTCCATTGATTTTTTTTTTCAGTGGCGGACCTAGAACATAGTAGAAAATACAAAGATGAAAGCCAAGTTGATAGCAATATCTTCATCTGTACCAACATTTTTATTATGTATATCTATCAGTGATTTATGTTTAATACCTGACATACTGCAATTTTTAAATTTTATTTTAATTTTTTTTTTCTCACCAGGCTTATTTTGGAATTTCTACAAGGACCATCCTGCTCACAGGAATTCAAGAGGTTGAGGAAGATGAGGAAAGCACACAGGACATCATTGAGATACATTTTCAAAAGCCAAGCAACGGAGGCGGGGAAATTGAGAATATCAAATATGTATCAAACCAAACCAAACAAGCCTATTTTGAGGAGGATGTTGAGAAAGTTGCATGAAGTACAGCAAATGGACCCTTAACCTTTGCCAGACGCTTCATATTATCAGGGAGACATTTTGCAGAAATATAGCTTTTATAACAATTATGCTTTCTTTTGATCTTGAGAGCAGAACTCTCTGATACTCAGCGAACCAGGTTTGCAGAGGTTCTTTGCATGTGCCAAGAAAATAATTCACACATGGCTGAGATACTCATAACAAAACTCATCTGAAACCTTAGAGTTTGTCTTGTATACATGATTCTGTCAAAACCATAAATCTTATAAACGTTTCAAACCTGAGCCTAGACTACCTTCTGCAAATCTGACCTGAGCTTCAGATTGGTAACAAAAGCCCAGATGAGGTAGATTCCCCCTGACTTTGTCAGGAAAGCTTTGCACAGCTCTGCAGAAAAGTGCCTTTAGGTTTATATGCTTGTTTTAAATAGCTACAGGGGATAGGTCAGTTGACTCCCATCCTGATGAGGGTCTTGGGTGCTCCCATAGTCCAAACTATTATTTTGTAATTGCATAAGATTTTTGTATCACATGACGGCAATTAAGAAAGTAAAATACTACAAACATGTTTATTATCTGGAAGGAAGGAGAATATACAGAAATGGCACCAGTTTATTCAACATGTTGGCACCTTTCTGGGCTATATTATGCTGTAGGGAACAGTAACAGAGCTGATTTGGTCTGCTTTTGACCCTTTTGAAATGCCGTTACCTCTTCTAGGACCTGATCAAACTCTGAACTCTTAGCTAATATCAGTTCTGCATCCTCTGCCTCCTCTGTTTGAAGGCTGTATTGGTTTTTTGACAGGTCTTTTCCATGAATATTTGTATTGACAATTGTGCTATTCTTTGATAATGCTCATTATGCTGCCTAATTTAAAAATACCCATATGCTAGCTAAGAATGTGACCTGGGGATCATTTATTTTATGACTACATTGAAACAATCAACTTGTGAGCATCACTGATGGATTTTAGTCTGCATGATCTGTGCTAAACTACCACCTTCACAATGGAGGGTGTATGGAGAAGGTTAATTGGGGGTCACATGGAGAGCAGGACAAATTATGTCCTTGGTATTCTTGAACTAGAGACAAAAATATCTGCCATATGAGCAATTAGCTTTAACCCATGAGCCACAATAAAATCACACTCCAGTTCAAAACAAAAGACTGCAGTATGTTATATAGGGAAAGGTGGATAAAAGCACAGTTCAGATATAAGCAGCACATTGGCAGGAAACTGATTTTTTTTGGTTGTAAAGCATGCAGCAATGGACATCTAACTCCATTTAACGTAGTCAATTTCATGAAATTCTTGAATATGATTTACTTTCTTGGTTTAAAGGACCTTACTGTGCAAATGCAATTTTGTGCTGTACTCGTGTAGGAAAGGTATTAACAATATAGTCTAACTATTGTAATTTTAATCACATTTAGGTTGAACATTCATAACACATTAAATATCAAACTATATCTAGAAAACAAAAAAGACGGGTATTGCTGATATTGATTTGCAACTGCTGTGTAAGGAAATTTGTGTGCTTACAGCTCCACTTACTGTTTGGTGCCTGCAAAGCGCTTGTATTGATTATACTAGCAACAAACATGAAGTGAATATTAAATAAAGTTATATGAATATGGAATGACTAGGGGAGGCCTGTATGCTTTGCCTACAACCTTGAAAAATGTAACGCTATTCAGATCAGGTGCCCTAAACTGCAAAGAAAAAAATGCATGAAGAGAGTAACTCTTGATATTTACACTAGATCTCACTGATAAGAGTTGAGAGAGAAATCCTTAGAGAATAAGATTTAAATAGAAGGTCTAATAAAGCTTATTGCTAGTGGGGCTAGTGAAAAACTGCCTAACATAAAACTCAGGTGATTTTTTTTTTTGAGTAATCTTAGGAATCATGGTATTTGTGAATTTCTCATTTTGTACTTAATCTGCTGAATATTGTTTTAAAGTATGAAACAGTAAAGATTCCATATAAAGATTATTGTTTTAATATAATAAAATGTTGCTATTTCTTTGCATTAGATACAGTTTCTGCCTATAACATAAAATCATACATGGGTAATAAATTCCACACTTTGACAACATATTGGTAAAAGCATTGTTCCTACATTTTCCCCTATGTGATACAATAGAGTTAGAATTTATATTCTCTGGGCTGAAGTGTGTGGGAGAGAACACATGTTCAAAATTCCTTTGAGGAAGCTCTTGCTAGAGTGATAGTCTTATCTTGCATCTTTGGGACACATCTACACTCCACATCCCTGATCCTGATCGGTAGGTTTTGAGTCAAGTCTCATACCTTGGCTTGCTCTGCTGCTGCTCAGCCACTGTGACTGAAGGTTTGGGTGAGGAGGCTCCTGATACTCTTACACCTTTCCTTACCTATGTAGACCTAGGTAGAGTTTGGCCCAGAAAAGGAGGAGAATTGTGAGCAAAGAAACTTATCTTCTATTTGAATACTAAGGGGAATGGATCTTTGGATACATTCTTGGTAAATAAACAGGAATTGATCAAAGAAGTACCAGGCTCTGCTATCTGTTTCTCTTCCTGATGGGAAAAAAGAGCCTCAAGAATGGCTCAATGCTTGGATTAAAAAAGTTAAAAACTCTAAAATCCTTGGGCACATTTACTCTGTCAGTGGGGGCCAGCCTTTTTGGCAGGCATGCTACAAATTGGCCCCAGAGCCTTCACAATTGCCACTCTGATTCTTTGCCCAATCTGTTGCTCTGCTTTCTGCCTTGTCTGCCACTAGGATCCCTGCTCTCTCTCTCTACTGGGCTGCATGCCATATGCAGAGGCTGCCTGTGCCACTTGTGGCATGTGCGCTGCAGGTCGCTGTAGGTCCTTGATCTGTGTGGAAGGTAAGGAGCCCAGGGCTGTCTTGGAGATGATGTGGTGTAGCTCATTGTTCTTGGCCACACTCTTAGATAAGTTGTTTGTGAATAGGGTACTGATTCTCTCATCCATGGCTGCCCTTAAGTAGTTTTCCAGGACTCCACATAGATGTGTTTAAAGTATTATGGATTGGGGATTACTACAGCACAAAAATCTAATACTATAGTTTGCTATCTTTTTAGTTTGATTGCAGCAAAACCTAGTAGAAATCTGAACAGGAGAGGGCACCCTAATCCATCTCTATCCGTGTCACCCATACCATAAAAGCAGGACCACCTTCATACTGCTTTCCTAGAATGTGACACATTCCCATCAAACCCGATGGTACAGCTGATTCCACAATTCAATAATAACAATACAAGGGAAATATTAACTCCCATCTTCCATTGAAAAGTGCTTTGAGATCTAAAGATGAAAAGCCTTCCATGAGCTTTTGGTATCGCAAACTGAGAAAACTGCTTGAGGCCTCTGCATTTAGCAACTGAACTGGGAGGCTGAATCATCTCCAAAACAATCGGATATGTGCTATGGTGCTAATTTGTGCTATGAGGCTAAATCTATTTCTCCATCTCTACCAGGGCCTATCGCACTCTGCAACAAACAGGGTCGAGTGGAAGTAAACTCAGACCTGAGTTTCTAAATGATCACTTTGGATCTTGTTGCACGTTGCACTTTGAACATTTGACCTGGTCATCGGTGTCACTGCTGGCTCCAGTTCGGTGCAGTCACACCTTTAAAACCTTGGACTGTCCCCCGCCCGCACAGCGGTGACTTGCCCTGGAGGGGAGGGCTGGCAAGCAGGGGTCTGACTAGCAGCTGCAGCGACGAGCTGTCAAGGGCTTTGCTCCAGGTAGGGGCAGGCGCGAGACGGGCTGCGGGGTGGGAACATGAAGCTGGGAGGGGGAGAGTTAACGGGTCGGGAGTGGGTAATGAAATGCGAGGTGGAAAGGGCATGGCGGTGTGAGGAAGGCGCTGAAAAGAAGCCTGCCGCTGGGGGTAGAATGACGGAAAAAGCATTTACAAAGAACTCAGGAGGAAGCCAACCAAGGTAATGTTTGAAGCGCTGGGACGGCGGCGCGGGCCGCGCTCGCTAGGGCGCCTGGGAGCAGGGAAGGCGGGCACCCAGCGCGGCCCGCCCTCGCCCTAGCTCCGGGGCCGGGCCGGGCCGGGGCTGCGGGGAAACGGAAGCAGCTCCGGGCACAGACATGGCAAGTGACTGCTCTCGCGCGGGGCCTTCGTGCGCGGCCGGCCGGGCCCGGCCGGGCTGGGCCGGGGGCTGGAAAGGGGCTGGTTGGAACAATGGGCCGCGGCCGCAGGGGAGAGACCGAGCTGGTGATCCTCATCCCTTTTGGCCCCGGGGCACCTGCCTCCCTGGCCCTGGCCCTCACTGCGCCGGGCCGGGCCGGGCCGGGAAAACCTGCGGTGTTGCAGCGCGGGCTCAGCTCCTTGCAAAGGGGGGCATCCGAGTAGGGACAGGGTTGTCTCCTGGGGCAGCCTGCCAAGGAGCTGGCGGAGCCGGCACCGCCGTGGGGAGCCCGTGAACGAAGCACATGCGACGTGCGCCAGCTTTCCCGAGCTGGGCTCGCTTCGGCCCGCGTCTCTGCAAACGCTGCGGCTCCAAAGGCGGCAGAAGCCCTGTCCTCGGGCCGAGGGCTGCACACTTAGCAGATAACCCTGGCTTTTTTTTTTTTGTGCCAAGACAACTAAGGACCGGATCCTGCAATAATATCCAAGTCCGTGCATCTACACAGAGCTCCCTTGACTCTACCAGGCTGTAGGGGCCTGCGTGCATGGATCCAGTTGTAGCCTTAATCATCCAGCTTGTGAGATAAGACAATGCTATTGTTATAAAACAATGACAGTCCATCTTCAGCCCAGGGGGCCTTGTGCAGTGCATTGGGCTCCCCACAGGTCCAGAAATATGGTGGTGAAGGAGTGGAAACAGTTAATGCTGCTTTCCAGACAGAGGGGGAACTTTGTGAGCTGAATAATGTGGCCCAGCATGACAGATCGCTCCAGTGCACAGGGTAGGGCCAGTGTGTGGGGTTAGGCTGCAGCTGGACCTGGCACATAGGATCGGGTCAGCACATGGGTTCTCTCCATAGCCAGATCTGGCCTGTGGGCCCAGGCCAACTCACCGGATTGCAGCTTGCAGACTGACCCTGCACATCGACCCCACACTTGATCCGTCTCACGGGCTGACCTTGCCTGCAGGATCTGGCCTGTGGTCTGAGCCCCTTCCCCCCCACAGATCCAGGCTACAGGCCTGGAAAGTTGAATAATACTATTATAGATTCAGTGTTTGGTTTTTTGCCTTGAAGATACAAGTCTCAGAATCATTGAAAATTAGGGTTGAAAGAGACCTCAGGAGGTCATCTAGTCCAACCCCCCGCTCAAAGCAGGACCATCCCCAACTAGATCATCCTAGCCAAGGCTCTATCTAGCCGGGTCTTAAAAATCTTAAAGGATGGAAAGTCCACAACTTCTCTGGGTAACTTGTTCCAGCATTTTACTATCCTCCTAATGGGAAAGTTTTTCCTAATATCTAAAGTAAATTTCCCTTGCTGCAACTTGAGACAATTGCTCCTTGTTTTGTCATCTGCCACCACTGAGGATAGTCTAGCTCCAATGCAAGTCTTAATATATAGGGGCAGGTTTTCTGTAAACTGGTGCAACTTCAGTGAAGCCAACTTACATTAGCACAGGGGCGGGCAATTATTTTGGGCAGAGGGCCGCTTACTGAATTTTGGCAAGCCATCAAAGGTCACATGACAGGCAGCCCAGGGCAGATAAATATTAATTTACTAAATTTTTTAGGGACCCTGCAGGCCAGATAGAATGGCCTGGCGGGCTGCATCTGGCCCCCGGGCCGCATTTTGCCCACTCCTGCACTAGCAGGTATTCGACTTTTATTTTCCATCAATTCTTTTGTTATGTCTTGGCATTTCTGTAACAGCGAGAGTCTAAATGTTATGACAGTAATCTTTTCCATTCACAGGTCTCTGAACTCTGTCAACATATGATACAGCATCTTTGTCTGGCATATGTAAAAAACCAAAAGCATTAAATAATATCAACGCCATAATGAATAAATGAAAGGGCATCTTACTTTGAAAAGACAATTCTTAAATCTTTAATTGAGAGTGTGTAATATTCAAATATCACAGCACTCCATGGTATTTATTTTTCAATCATCATATGCGTGCAACTTACTAAGTGTATCACTTAGAATTTTTATGTAATAGCAATGTAAATGACTGGAATGCAAATGTGGATCTTGTTCTCTAAAATAAGCATTGGTGTTCACAGGTGTTAGCATTATAACATTAGGGAGGCATAGGTTCAGTCTCTTAATACTATTGTGTAGAAAAGTAAAGTGAAATTTTAACTCTTGGAAACATTAATAGATTAGTCCACCCCCAGGCCTCCTTTTCAGGTAGATGATTTAGTATATTTACCTGAATAAGTCACATTTCTGAGGCCTACATGTTAAGAAGTGGATTTTGTGACTTGCCCAGGGCTGCAGGTGGAGTCACTGTCAACTTTGAACCGGAATTTGGGAGTTATTCTTCTCTATTCACATTTTGCTCTGCCAAGCATCAGGCACCTTTACAAAATGTGCTTCTCCCTGGCGACTGAGGGAACTTGACTGCGTGGTGCCCACCGGTGCTGAGACAGTGGCGTTCTCTGGGGCTCCAAATGCGTCTGGTGCTGCTGTTCACCTGGACGGCCACCCAGTGCACCCAGGCTGGCAGCACAGGCTTCATGGGAAGCGCGGCTGTGGGTAGGAGCCTTGAGTGAGGAGGTGATGTGCATGGGAATAAGGTGGTCGCCGCCTTGGTCATCAAAGGCTGGAGCAAGCAGGAAGCGCGCGCGCGCGCGTGTGTGTGTGTGTGTGTGTGTGTGTATTATAAATGCAAAACAAACAAACAAAAAGATCTATTTCTAAAGAAAATCTTTATCAGTGCATCCCTAGTGGCAACTAGTTCTACTCATAGCTGTATGCCAGTGGTGGGCAAAATACAGCCCACAGGCCACATCTGGCCTGCCAGGCCATTCTATCTGGCCCACAGGGCCCCTAAAAATTTTAGAAAATTACTTTTTATCTGCCCCTGGTTACCTGTCAAAGATGACAGGTGGCAGTGGCAGCAGCACCCAGCAGCTGAGCAGTAAGGCTCTCATGGCTCCACTCTGCCCCCAACCTCCTCCCACCTCTAGCCCCCAACTGGAAGCCTCTGCGACTCTGGCCTGGCAACCCTTTGGCTGTTCCATGCCTTCCCTCCGTCCAAGTGTAAGGTCAGATAAGATTGGACACAGGGATGAGGGAAACCACTGCAATCTGGCCAGCAGTCGGGAACTGCTTGGTGCTTGCTGGGCCAGGCTGGAGCCAGAGAGGGAAGTGGAGGGGCGGAAAGAAGGGGGAGTTGTGGGGGGCCAGCAGGAAGCAACAGCGGTGGGGGAAGTAGCGGGGGGGCTATGGGAAGCGACAGTGCGGGGCTGTGGGAAGTGACACATTTGGAGCCCCAGAGAATGCCACTGTTTCAGCACCGGCCAAGTTCCCGCAGTCGCTGGGGAGAAGTGGGTTTTGCAAAGGTCGCTGTGGGAAGTGGCAGTGGTATGGGGAGCGGGGGGGGCAGCAGAAAGTGGCAGTGGCGATGGCAGCAGGCGGGCCTGTGGAAAGTGGTGGTGGCATGGGGAGTGGTGGTGGTGGAAGCTGGAAGTAGCTGCAGCAGTGGTGGGTGGGCATGCGGGAGGAAAAGCAGGGGAACAGCAGGGGAGTGATGGTAGCGGGTGGGAGCATGGAGCCTGTACTGGTGCCCTGGGGCCAGTGGGGACCGAGGGTGGTTGGCAGGAGCGTGGAGCCTGGGCACGGGGTCTGCTTGGCTGCATCGTTTGAGGCTCGCATGTAGTCCATGAGAGCGGCACGTGATGGAGCTGGCGACTTGGCCCCTGTCTCTCTCTGTCTCCCCACCACTACACCCACCATAACCCCACACCCTCCCACAGCCTCCACCTCAGCCACACAGTCCACACCCATCCACACTCACCCACCATACTCACACCCCTCCCACACACCCACTCCCCAGCCCCCCCCACATACACCCCTTACCACCCACACAATATACAGTAGGGCTCTATTTTGAACTATTATGCAATCACTTCTAGATACACTTTGCAAGCACATAAATCAGTACAAAAACATTCTTCAATACCATTAAAATAAGTTATAGTAGATGTTTTATTTTTTTGTATATGATTTGGGGTTTTTTTCTGGTTTGAAGCCGGTAGCACCCTCCCTCCCAAAAGGAGTACTTTTGTGGCAAGGGGAAGGACTTCCAGGGGTTAGGGGGCAGGACTGCTGTCCCCAATATGGCAACCAGGGGCGGGGCTACCCATGTAGCTCTTGACAGTTCACCAAAACTTGGTAAGTGGCCCTTCAGCTAAAATAATTGCCCACCCCTGCTTTATGCATTGATTACAAATCTAGGGGTTGCTTCAGGAATCCACCTGTTAAGGGTCTGTAAGGAACTGTGGCAACTGAGTGCTTATCTGTGTGTTTTCCCCACTCCTACCCATCCTCCGTGCTGAAGGCTGCGTGCAGGGTGACTGTGGAGCTGGTTCTGGCATCTCTGTGCCTGCATGGGACTCCCTCGAGTGGGGGAAACGGTCCCCCTCCATTCTCTGTGTGATACATGGATGATGCAGAGTTATGCATATTTGAAGGTGAAGGAGAAATCTGTTTATGCTGGGGAAATTGCCTTTATGTAAAAGCTGCCAGCTCTTCAGATTAGAAGCTTGATAAAAAAAAATAGGCTTTGTGTTTTTTCAAATTAAAATTTGTAGAGTGTACCACTGTACTGTTTAATTGAATTTGTCTCCTCACTCCCTTTGGAAATAAGGAGACTGGAAATAATAGACATAGCTCGAAATCCACATCAATGAAAAATTATCCTCCTGCAGCATGCTTTGCAGGCTTTCTAGCTGCTGCACCAGCTGGACTACCTTCTGCAGTGCAGATCCAGGAGAAGGCTCTGACAAGCAGCATGAAGAATTTAAGGAAAAACTGACTTTGCTTGCAACCACTCAGAAATTATTGAGAATATTGTTTTTACAAGTGCCTCCATATAGACCTGCTAAAATTATATTTTCTTCTGCAAGTCAATGAACTGTTGCAAACCTCAGTCAGTCTATAAACACTTTACAGTAATTCTGTTACAGTATTCCAGTAAAATACTACTATTTGTTTTTCTGTGATGAATGTGGAAGGAGACTGATTTTCTCAACAGATGGCACGTCTACACCTGCCCCTACAGCACCGTTGTTACTGCGCTGTCAGTTAGTCCTTAGCGACACTGTACCAAGGGAGTGTCGTGCTTGTGGTGTCATGGTTTTTGCCTGCCGGTGCTACGTTACCGTAGCGTGTTACTACAGAGGTGTAGCGTCTTGTGTAGACGCGCCCAGAATGTAACAGAAAATCCTGTGACATGCATTTTCTGTTTACAGAATGGGGAGTTTGTGAGGTGTCCCAAGCAAAGTAACTACATATACACTAGATTCACATCAGAACAGAGATGACCAGAACTGTACCAGGCTGTCCCTCCAAAACAGACTCAAGGCATTTCTTGGAACATGCCAGCTCTTAGCTTTCACTGTTATTTAACTATGGAAAAGTAGTAGAGCAACTATGGCAAAGAAATCAGAAGGACTACAACAGGTCAGAATTTTTTTGACGTTGTGGATTCCTGTTGGAAATCTTTGGGTTTAACTTTGTGAATCCTGTGTAGGTGTTTGAACATCTAACAGTGCTTATATTGTGTCACACCCTGCATCACCCTTAAAAGGAATCTTGCAGCACCCTGATTGAGAATTACAGATCTGACAGAAGAGGGAAATGGGATAAAAGGATCCTGGTCCTCCTGAACTCAGATGAAGTTGGATTTGGTCCCCTAAAATTGAAATCAGTTCTGTTTCTACTGAACAATAAATAGAATAAAAATATTTTCTAATTCAGTTCAAACTGCCAATACCAGAATGAAAAGCTAGAGCATAAATATTTGTATTAATATCACACCAAGTACTCCTCATTTTAGGAGCAACTTAAGTTTAAACATTTGATTCTCATGTATATTATCCTAGCAAGACAAAGGGTGTTGAAGTGGGTGGAAATTATGTTCTTGTTGACTTGAGGCCTCTTACGCTGCCACAATGGTAAAGAGAACTTTGTGTAAATGAGAAGTAAGCCTGAGGTTTTGTGGAAAGTACTATGATTTTTTTGGAGAGAATCAAAAGCTGATTCAGAAGTCCTCTTCTTGTGGGAACTTGTATGTAGCAAGTCTTTATGTAGGAGAAAGGGGGTGAAATGGATAGCAGGGAGGGCTGGGGAGCCTCTCATAATGAGGTACCATCTAGAGGCCTAAGCCATTACTTGCATTTGCCATATGCTCTTGTCTTGGTATACAGGCTGCTGGAGAAGCTTCTAAATCAGAGAGAACAGTGATAGTCTCTGGTATTCCAGATGGCATTCTGAAAGATGAGGTCATGGCTGACATACTGATGATTCATTTCCAGCGGGCGAAGAATAGGGGTGGAGATGTGGAAGGCATAGTCTATCCGACAACAACAAAAGGAGTTGCATATATAACATTTGAAGATCAGAAAGGTATTTGTGTTCAAAAGACGTAATTATAACCATGCAGTAGAAGAATGAGGTTTAGAACATTAACCATAAAACATAACATTTTCAGTAAATTATTATTACTGGGATTTCATCTATGCAGGGATGTAATGTCCTTATTTTAATAACTCAGGTTTTAGGATTTCCTCCTACTCATTAAAAGCATGAATATGAACAGGCTTCTTGCAGAATTGTTGTGTGTTTTTTTAAGACTGGTAAAAGAATAAATCTATGCCTTATATAACAGACATGATTTTTATAGTCAAGCCTTGGGGAGTAAATCTCTGCCAATTAATGTTCTAAGGAGCTGGGCTGCTGTCTCTCTCTCTTCTGAACAATTTTGAGTAATGCATAAAATATCAGGCAGGAATAGTGAACATGAGGAAATGGCTAGGGAGAACACTGAGAGAGGGGAAGAAAAAGAGACCAAGACCTGTGAAGTATTCCAAGAATCAGACTGACAGTAAAATTTCATCCTTTGACTGCAAAACAACTGAGTTTGAATTTCCCTTTCAGTTACAGAGAATGTTCTCAAGAAAGGTGAACATCAACTAGAAGACAAGAGGCTGCCCAGACACTATCCTCTGAAAGTATCTCTTTACAGTGAAGATGTAAGTTTATCCATCACAGTGTCCTTTTTGCACATTCATTGATGTGGTGTTTTTATTGATTATTTTTCTTCTAATGTTTGTAGGTCTTCTCCTGTATCTCGTGTGTCCTTGATTTGTCCGGTTTTGGAGATAAATGTGTTTTAGAAGATCTGGTGCAAGAACTTCAAAAGAACATCACAGCTTTAAGTTTCAGTCCTTTACAGCCTAATGGGCAAATTTCTGTTCAAGGGTCATTCCCATCAATACAATCATTAAAAGACAATCTGTTGTTAAAAGCAAATTCCCTTTCAAAGACAGACAAGAAAGCAAAATGTATGTCGAGTCAAAGATCTAACAGCAAGACCCAGAAACATGGAGTATCTGTGGAGTCAAAGAATAATTTTATCCATAATGCAGATGGAGAAAAACAGGTTGTTCTTGACACTGATGTATACTACTACATGAAACACATTTTACATGAGGACAGTCTAGCAAAAAAGAGTGTTGTAAGTCGTGAGGTTACAGACGGTGAGATCACGATACTGTATCTTGAAAGGGTCAATGCTAGTTCTGATCCTAGCAAGTTAGAAAAAGCCAAAAAGAAAATTGAAGACTTGTCTGCAGAACTTCATAGCAAATTACGAAAAAAAAGATTCCATCTTGACAGAAGCAAACATGAAATGCAGATGTATCAGCATGCATGCAAGAGGGTGCAGTCCCAATACTCACAGGTCTTGGTTATTCCTTATGAGACTCACATAGATGTTATAGGAAGTTCTTCTGACGTTTTTGGGTTTGCACAAGAAATGAAAACAAAGGTAAAACATTACTTGCAGAAAACCCCCCAGGAGATGATAGTCAGATAGGTGCTGCAGGTAAGATATGCCAGGTGAGAGTTTCTAAAGAACAGTCTTGCAGAGGGAGTGGTGGAAGCCCTACTGTTTGGAATATTTTATAGAGTGTTTGGCACTTCAGAGAACTCTGCAAATTTTAATTAATTAGAGCTCCATCCTGCTCTCCATAGCTGTTCCATTATCCTTAATGACAATCCGTTATTCCACATAAGGATCTAAGAGGAATATTAGTACCTCTTTACACATTAATGCTAGAGAAGCCACACAACTGATAGCAGTGATGTGGAAGAGCTTGTACTCTGTGTTCAGTCCCACTGTGTGGGTACAGACACTGTCACAGTATTAAAGGCTGAACATTTGGTTTACAGCCCCAAATACAATTTAAAACAGGCAGCAGTGATCTCTTGCTACATCCATGAGCTTAAAGATGGAAGTTAGTTTAGGTGATGAACAGGTTGTCTTTGTTCTATCATCTCTACAGTAGTTACTTCTTGAGGAACTAGTAACTTATGTTGTTTACATAGGTTTATTGCAGTTATTTCAGAGTATTTTTATTCTAAGGTCTGGGACATACCTGCCTGGGCTTTGGAGTTATTTGTTAGGTTTGAAAGACTACCTGTGTTTCTGTTTCCAGCAAGTACAAGATTGTATGCTTCACATATTGATTATTTTCCTGACTGTATGTGGCATGGATATGACTTTTATATGGCATTAATTATTATTTGATAACCAGTCATTTTTCTTTTGTCTGGGGGCACATGGGCACACTTGACCTGTCTTGAGACATGGAGTACATTAGAGTAAGAGGGGTGATTATGTAAGGAGATACAAGACTTTTCCTTAGCATAAGAGACCAGTCATACACTATATAAAGGCAATCAAATGAGGGAGTAAGTGTTGAAAAAGGTACTTTATATTAGTGTATGTTTGTCCAAGCAGACAACTTCTAAAAGTGAGAACTGTCTCTTGCCTTCAGTATCTTTTTTGTAGGAGAAGCTCCTTGTAATTGAGACATACCCAAAAGAAAGAGCTTTTATAGATGGGGAAAAAAGCACAAACATTAGCTCCTAAGCCCTGAACTATGTTTCCCAGAACACGACAGGAATTTGGAGCCATCTTGTAGAAGGCTTTCCTCATTTTTCAGTGAATTCAGAGACCCTTCTGCAATCAAAAATGCATATTAGGTATTGGAGGGCAGGGGGAAGATCAACCTTATTTATGCAGAAGTGACACACATTTGGATCCTCAATGATTTGCAATAGCAGCTGCACAGCTCTTAAACTCAGTTTTTTTCTACAACTACTTCCAAATTTTAGAGTCCAAATTGTTTTCATTTTTGTAGTTTGGACTTTGGCTTTTGTTCTGCTTACACAGGTATAAGAAACACAGCAGTGAAATGGGCATAGGTTGTCAGAGTAGGTGATTATCATGTTCAAACACTGAATTAGCTGAGCAACAGAGGAGCTATCATTTCTAGTACACATGTGAACAACTTCAAAAATGTATTGTAAAGCAAGCAATGAACATAATTACCAAAAATTACAGTTAGAAGAGATCTTAATGTCACATGCCCCCCTGTCATTGCTTGATTGTTTCTGGCTGTGTTTTGTAGCCTGATATTGTATTTCAAATAATGGGGTTTCTGCCACGTTGCCAAAGAAAAAACTATTTTTTGTTAGATTGTGGATATAAGTATTCATTAATTATTTTCTAGTTTATAAGCTTTATGGAATGGTAACTTTAACTTCATAGGGTTGTACAGTTCCTACCAAAAGGCAATCTGATTATCTGATAGGTGCGAGAACATCATTAATGAATGTTGTATAGTATTTGGAGGGTAAAGAACTATGTAAGTGCTGCCTGCCTGTATTATTCATAGTTTATGGGACCTGAGCAGGTCATCAAGTCCGACCCCCTGCCATCGTAGGAAAGAGTACTGGGGTCAAACGACCCTGACAAGGTGTTCATCCAGCCTCCTCTTAAAGACCCCCAGGGTAGGAGCCAGCACCACTTCTCTTGGAAGTTGGTTCCAGATCCTAGCTGCCCTGGCAGTGAAATAGCATCTCCTGATGTCTAGTCTGAATCTACTCTCTGCCAGCTTGTGACCGTTATTTCTTGTCACTCCTGGGAGTGCTCGGGGGAACAGGGACTCCCCCAATGCCTGCTGGTCCCCCCTGACTAATTTGTAAACGGCCACTAGATCCCCCCTCAGCCTTCTCTTGTGGAGGCTGAACAGGTTCAGGTCCCTTAGCCTCTCCTCATAGGGCCTGCGCTGCTGACCCCTGATCATGCGGGTGGCCCTCCTCTGGACCCTCTCCATGCTATCCACATCCCTCCTGAAGTGCGGTGCTCAGAAGTGGACGCAGTACTCCAACTGCGGCCTGACCAGTGTCGCATAGAGGGGGAGGATCACCTCCTTTGACCTGCTTGAGATGCATCTGTGGATGCATGACAAGGTGCGGTTGGCCTTCCTGACTGCGTCTCCACACTGTCAGCCCAGGTTCATTTTGGCATCAATAATGACTCCAAGATCCTTTTCTGCCTCTGCACTGATGAGAAGGGAGTTCCCCAGCCTGTAGGTATGCTGCTGGTTCTTCCTCCCCAGGTGCAGTACCTTGCACTTGTCAGTGTTGAAACCCATCCTGTTCTCATCTGCCCACCCCTGTAACCTGTCTAAGTCCAATTGCAGCCTATTCCTCCCTTCTAGCATGCCCACTTCTCCCCACATTTTAGTGTCATCTGCGAATTTGAACAAGGTGCTTTTTACCCCCTCATCCAAGTCGCTGATGAAGATGTTGAACAGTGCAGGTCCAAGGACCAAGCCCTGGAGCACCCTGCTGCCCACATCCCTCCAGGTCGAATAAGACCCATCCACCACCACCACTCTGGGCACGGCCCTCCAGCCAATTAGTGACCTATTTGACTGTGTAGGTGTCGACGCCAAAGTCTCCTAGTTTTTTAATGAGAATAGGGAGAGAGACAGTGTCAAAGGCCTTCCTAAATTCCAGAAAGACTACATCCACTGCTACACCTGTGTCTAAGGATTTTGTGACCTGGTCGTAGAAGGCCACCAGGTTGGTCTGACAGGACCTGCCTCTAATGAACCCATGTTGGTTCATTAGAGGCAAATGAAATTCTACAATGCCTTTCCTCTTTCCCCTCTCCCTTAATATCTGAAGGTAAGCATGGGGTGTAAAGTTAAAACAGTATGTTTTTCGTAAACTTCATTTTTAGAGCTTTATTTAACATAACAGTAGAATTTGTTATTTGGCCAACCTGCAACATGGACATGGTTATTTTATATCTGTAAATCAGGAGACTGGATTGCTGGACTGGGAAGGGGACGGGGTGGGGGCAGGGTTACAATTCTATGTTCCTTTTTAAAAAAACAAAACAAAACCCACAGATGCAAAGAAGCCATGAATTTAGCTCTTTATCCCCTGTAGCTGAGGAGCACAGGATTTTGCATGGTTTTATATCATTCAACTTGGAAATATAGAAAACTTGGTCAAAACAAGACATGCTAGCTGAAGATATAGTATAGTTTTCTTTGCAGAAGTAAGTGCTCTGTTGCTTTTAAGTAAGAAGTAACATAATGAAAAGATTATTCAAAATATTGTTTGAAATTTTTATGGTTATTTCAAGAAAAATAAAAAACCCAGAACCTGAACATTGTACTAGACTTTTTCTTGCAGTGACAATGCATCGCTATAGTAATAGAAGATTAAATTATTAAATCAGTGCCAGTAGTATTCATGAAAACTTTCAGTCAGGAAGGAAGACAAGATCCTTCTGTAATTTAAGTATTGAAGGGAGGAGGAGACTTTAAATTATCTTTTGAATGGAAAAAACAATCCTTCCACAATATTAGAAGTCATTGCTGCTATCCAGACTGTAGTCATTTTCCTCCTTTTTAATTCTTGCCTTATCCCTTACTATTCTTACTATATCCCTTTCTCTGTGCACTTAGCATCATGAATTTTGGCAAAAACATTAGTGTTTTAGATCAGGGCTGTCCACCTGGCTGCATGCCAGCCTATGAAGAGTTAATGTATGGCCTCTGGGCTCCTCCTTATTGCTCTGGCTGCTGCTGCAGCCTGGATCTCCAGGCTCTCCATCCCTTTTCTGACTTCCATTTCTTGCCCTGACTCCAAGGAGCAGAGCAATTCAGCTCAGTGCATCCTGCATGCTGTAGGAGTCTGCTGGCAAGGATGTTGGTGGGAGAGGAGGACTACCCACTGCCTATGTGGTATAGCAGAGGGAGTGGGGGTGCCAGTGAATGTCAACAGGATGTAAAGGCCCATGTCTGTATGCAGTAATATCCCAACAATGCAATCTGATAATATGGCCCAGAATTTATTAAAAAATAATCTTGTGGATGAAAAATACTATAAAATATTAATAGCAAGATTTTTATAGGAAAGAAAGTAACAGTAAGTTTCTTGGTGCAGGTTTAACAGCTGTCTAGTATCCCAGCGTTTCATTGGAACTTTTGCTGCATCTAATACACAAACCCATTGCTGTGTCACCTGACGGTCAAAGTAGGATTGCTGCATTGCTAATTTTGTCTTTTTTAGTGGGGTGGGAGGATATGAAGGACTAGAACTCAAAAGCAAAAAAAGCCCTCTCACATTGTTGAAAATGTGTGGGAGAAAAAATATCACGTTTCTATCGTCATCTGGATTCATTGTGACTTAAGAACATGCCTGTACATGTACTTGGCAGGGGGAGGGGCATTTTAATTAGAGAGGTTCCTGGACAGCTGCTTTAATTATGACGGCTCACTGTCACATGTATTAAGCCCCTGCATGTTTCAAAATGGCCACGAGATGCTTTATCTAATGTTCATTTGATGAGGTTTAAATAAAGCATCCCCATGGCCATTTTGAAACGCACGGGGGCTTAATACACACGAGGGTGAGGCGATGCTGGCGCGTTCTGACGAGAACATGGAGCAGACTCAATCAAGGCTGCTCAGACGTGTTCTCAGAACGTGAACGAGCACATCTGTAGGCACGCATCAAATCTCACGCAGCAGGATGAAACCTTAAAATACACATGAACTGAAAGCCAGCCGTGCTACCGTTGACTAACAGTTCTGTACCTGCAGCAGCCTAGGATTAGCGAGCATGCAGAGCCGTGCTCCCCACAAGAGGCAGCTCAAGTTACGGTTCATCTGGAGGAGTTCAAACCCTCCTTGGCTTGTGTTCAGTCAGCTTCTGTAAACATACTTAAACAGTCTTCGGTTTTGTACATCTCGTGCAAGATCAGGTTTGCCATAAAACAGAATAAGGACAATGCTGGGAAAATTTTTTCTAAATGGAGAGTATTTCTATGGTGATTATTTTGCTTTTTTGATTCAGAGAGGATGGTGGATATTTACTGGCACTCCAGTTTCCATCCAGCGTGTTATCAATATGTATTTTACTGCCTGCAAGATTGCTGCTGGGCGGACAGCACAGTTACGTGAACGATTGATCTGTGTCAGTTCCTTTTTCCTCCTTGACCTTTTGTCTTCCCTCCTGCATTCACGCACCACAGCTCCTAATTGGACACCATAATGGGAGAAACCATTTCCCTTCACCTTTATGGTAGCGAGACCATCAACAGGGGTTTTAGGATGCAGACTCCCTTTTGGCTTTTCTTATGCAGCTAGAAGATAGAGGTCTTTCCTGTATTGTGGGGCAGGCTTCAGGAAGATACCCAGCTAACAACCAGTGAGTCAAACA